AACCACAAGAGGATGCTTGAACTCCGGATGAATGAAAATTTAACCGCGAATATGTAATTCGATACTCCAATAGATCGTGGGTTAAAGAACCGGAAAGCGATGATCCAACCAGAAATCTCCATAGTTGGACCATTCACGAAAAAAAGTGAACCAACTTGCATCGGTCAAGCCCGGGGGTCGTAACGTAATATTTGTTAATTGTGAAACTCGATACAGAGGCTAGAAGCTCTACCTGCGTTTTGCCTTTTTTTTTCTTCTTTTTTTTTTTTATTTTCGTGGGAAGCGTGGATATGCGTGGAGATGCGTGGAGATGCGTGGAGATGCGTGGAGGTACGTGGGGATGAGTTGAGTGTGTGTTATGTGGCCACGCGAGAAGAGATGATGACCACCCCCGGTTTTACGAGATCCCAGATAGCGCCACACCTGCCCCCTCATGACGACTTCATTCAGTTTTTTAGACAGAGGGAAAGGTCTAAAGTAGGGCTCCATCTCCCAAAGAAATTCCTAGTTCAATGTAAATTCAACATGATTATTCCATTTTATGTAATTCCGAGAAAAATTTACGCATGGGAACGATTTACCAATAATTCGGAGTAGAAAATTACTTGAAATCGTGGAAAGGGTCCCTCTGTCCATCTCCAGCACTAAGCTGTCTAATTTTCATCCCCCTATCCTATACTCCTAGATTGTATTTCATCTCTACCCAATCCCCTGGACAGGTAAAATAGCAGATGTGATATTCCCACGGTTTTCCATCCTTCCGAATAACTGGACACTTTTTTTTTAATCGAATACGGAGCCATGAACTGCAGAAATCTTATATTGAATTTCGGTATTTATAACAATAATTGTGAAAAATTGGAATATTAATCGAGCAATATATAAAAATCAGATATTCCCATGAGGGAAAATAAAAAATGGATTTAGCATGGAGGTGAAATGTGAAAGGCAACCCTTGCCAGGTAGCGGAATATCGATACTGTTCACCCAATATTCACCAAAAAATTTTATCCCCTTATGTAAACGACTATTGAAATGCATCTGAAAAGATGAATGTCACATATATATATATACCTGCGTATATTTGAATGCCTGGGAAATTTAAAAACGCAATTTTCGTTCATCTCCCCGACATCGGAAAAAAGGATGAAAACATCGATTATTTGCCCCTTTTAGGAAAATTTTGGAAGCCCATTGGAGGAGCGAGGGATTGCCCTGCGTCAGGGTGATACACCGGGGATTGACCGTGGGAGCGGTACTCATCCTTTTCACATGTTTGGCGATTCACTTCGATTCAATTTGAATAGGACCAAACCCGTGGGAGTACAGTCGTAACTCTTACAAAATTTTTCGTAATTTACTTTTCCTCAATTCTTCAAAAAAAAAAGGGAAATAACTTTGCCGCAACCCTTCACATTGACGAAGGCAAAAGGACCTTTTAAAATGACGCAGACAAGTGTGGGAATTTATCGCTCCACATATCTCCAAAATTCTCTCTGGTCATATATATTGGACTTTGAATTTCAATTCAATTCAATCTATATCATTGCTATTCATCATCTTTTCTCAATAATACCCGCCATGGAAGAATATTTCAAATAAATTTTTTTTCAAGGGACTCATTTCTCCCTCTCATCACTAAATTCCCGTGGAAAATGGAAAACACAATGGGAGATTTTTTCCATCGTCTGCTCATACACGTGAAACGTAAATGAAAAAGGGTGGAGCCGTAACCGTCGAGTATATTTTCAATCGAACTCACATTTGATATGCACGATAAGAATAACTCGTCAATCCAGTGGAATCTAGGGTTGTGAATTAGAGATGTAAAATCAGGAAATATGCTGAAGGTACGCCCGAGATATAAAAGAGGTTATTCATCGGGTCGCGGTCCATTTTTTGCTCCATTTTTTGCATATTTTTGGAAAACGCCGGACACACTTGGGCCTTTTTTTACCCTCTTTCACGAGAACTTTTTTCCTTCATTTTTTTTTTTTTTTTAAGAAACCATAAAAACTACTAGGATCTCCCGTGGCTGCCCCTACCTTCTACACTTCCGGTCATTTCCTACTTGTAAAAAAAAAACTCTTTCCACGGGGCTTTTTCAAACTTGAAACTCAATCCAAAGTGTTCAGACCACTTCACCCATTGAAAAAAACGAAAATATTCATCATCCTAACAGAGAAGGATGAAAATTATCCGAAAAGCAGGAAATTACAAGACATTCCCTGTATTTTCAGTTCACATCAATTGCATCCTACAATCAATAAAAGAAGTAGCTAAATCTCTGATATTTTAAAATTAACATAACGTAAATGTAGAATAATTTTTTGGAGCTAAAGTGAAAAGCGAGTATTTTTCCAACCGATTAGCCTTGCATCTGGGCTCTGAAAAGTGGTAAATTATTCCCAAGAAACTCATAACCATCACCGGACAAATCCAGTAGCCCATTGCCATGTGTTTCGGAAGCGGAAAAACCTTGTAGAAGTACACAAATAATTTGGTTTTCTCAAGACCAAGGCGAACCATCCACTCTTCCTCTCTATCACCGGCCCTCCAATGAATTTGTTTATTTAACTTGGCACGTATTTCCGAAGCAGTGTCGAGGGGGTGGAAAAGTGGTAATCGATCCCCTGAATGGTGGTTGTGAGAGAGATAAAGTGAGTGAGGAAAAAAAAAACAGTGAGTGGTCACGACGTGGCCGGAAAAATTGGGAGGTATCATCCACACAACGCTAAACTTTCACACGGGGTGTCATGTGTGGCCTTCGGAAAACCTGCAGCTTCCACACCCTCACCACAACCATTTACCATCCGCCCTTTCCGCTCATTTTCTCCAAAAACGGACATCCTCTTACAATAATCCCACAAATGATCATGTACGCATTTGTGGATAATATACATTAATGTACGAGAGGTGTACCTTGTGTTCATGAATTTTCGCGTGAGACTGAGCGAAATTAATTGGAGAGTTTTCAAAGGTGCGCCGGTGAGAGGTTGTAATTAATAATTTGCCTGAATTCGAGTCTCTACTCCAACTCCCAAGACGAACATTGTCACGAAACACACCTAAGTGGATGTTTCATACTAGATGGATAAGAAAACGCTCTAATTTCATAGAATTAGCGAATTGTCCATCGAAAATGATGCTCATATGTGAGAATCCCATGAAAATTATGAGAGAATGTGAATATGTCCATAGTGCCAGGCAACTTCCGTGCCCAAGGGTAACAAATCTCTCGGCCCAAAAACTTGCTTCCGTCATTCACCCGAGTGCACCTTTTTTTTCTCCCACACATTTTTGAAAAAAAAAGAGAGATATATTTCCCTTCCCAGATATTACAACCCAAAAATCGAAAACATACCGCCTGAATTCCATCACTTCCTGAACTATCCCCCAAATATATTATTATTTTTTTTTTTTTCAGCGTAAAGATGCATTCAATTCCGTAAGTATTTCGACTATTACCATTAAACATAACTACTACATTTTGATAAACCTCTTGTGATTGAACGACAATTCTTGAATAATTCAATCACGTCGCTAACTCGAACACATGTCAACTAATTACTCAATGAATATTCTGGTTAATTCACCCTCAGCCAAGCAATCCTTTCACGGCACGAGGGTCATATATCTCACCACAACGATCAAAACACGTTAACGTCCCACCGGAATAACTATATTCCTCCTTCACCAGGTGCCTTCTACCATTATTCCCATAATTACCCCTTTATCGACACCTCATCAAAATAAATAATTTAATTCAAGCATTAGATTCGTGGGAGGTTGTACGTGTTAACATTAAGGAACCCTTCATCAAATTTTAACCCCAATCATTATAACAAAAAGGCGTAGTACTCTTTCCATTTGTCATCGAAACGGCCCCCCTTTCTAAATTAATATTCCTCATAAAATTTCAAATCAACGAAAAGAAAAACCATTAAAAATACATGAAAATGTAAATCACTGGGATTAAACAAATTTTATTCGAGGCAATTTGAATATTGAGGACTAGCTTTATATATTTTGTCGGATTTCCAATTTTCCAAAATGCTGGAAATTCCCAAAGGAAAAAATTGTACATGTTTTATTTTATTAATAACTATTTGCGTACCATCAGAAAATCATAGAAATCTAGATAAATTTGGAAGACAAGTAGATTTCCATTAACCCGAAAAAAACATCAATTAAAAAACCATGAAAATAAAAATGGAACAAGTTTGAACCAGTGGAACTATTAAAACCCCTTTCCTCCAGAAATATGTGGTGTTGTAGTTTTATCTTTAATAGCCAGTGGGAGTGGTTGGTATTCGTTTAGTGCGTCTCCTACGGCTGCTAAAACTAAGAGGCTTTTTCTCTATACAATATTTTACGATCGGTCTTTACACGCGCCCCTTCCACTTTAAAAGCTCATTCCATTTACTGATATTTTGAAAAAAATAAGAAAGAAAAAGGCAACACCGACATCAGCCGTATGAGTCTGAGGGATAGTGTCATCGGATTTTAACGAGCGAGAGACGATTAAGAGTTAAAATGTGTTTGACATTCGGCACAAGCGGCGGATTTGTCAAACGATTGTTATGGACCATTAGCTGTTATGTTACAACACACATTAAAAATTACCCAAATTACCATCAACTACCCTCACTCAATAAACACATCCGGGGAAGCATTTATCCTGAAGAAAAAATTAATTTTTCAATTTCTCATTATTATATTGTTTTTTATTCAACAGGAAAAATATTCTATGGACAATTGTTTTTCCTTTGATGTCACAACGTGGCGACAGTGGGACATTTTTATGTCTACCCTTGCTTTTTTATGAGGTATTTTCCATTTTCAAAATATTTTCCAAATGAGATTAGAGACAGTCATTTGTGAGTCATTCGAAAGTAAGCATTATTCAAATGGGTACTTATAATAATTGCATTATGAGGGAAGTAAAAAACGAAATGTTATCCAATATAATGGAAATCACAGAAGGTTTGGGACAATCATGGAACAAAAAAAAAAAAAATAGGATTAATAGCCCTTTCTTCTCTTCTCTCTGGAAATGAGCAAAAATAAAAAAGAAATGATGGAGCAACATCAACAGATGCCGTAAAATAATAGAGATGCCTGTTTTATTTTATACGGGTGAGCTGTCACGTGAAAATCGATCGATAAGACGAGTCGCTCCGTATTTTATCGAAATGTCCCAGAGTATCCGGTAACTCCAATATCCCCTAATTAGTCCGCTGACAAGAATTGTTTGATGACACGTGCTCGGAGCGTCTGCCGGTGCAGGAAAAATTTCGAAAGTAAATTATCACCAGCTGCGTTTGAAAACAACACAAAATAAACACGAGTTTTCAATTTAAATTTATTGAAAAGATTGAATATAGCCCCAACATCGAAATCGACAGTCGGAATTGGTTTACATATTTTGGGAAATAGCCTAAGACTCAACCGAATTACTAGATTGTCGCGTTGAATTTTAGTCTTTCATATATCGTTCCTCAAACGGATACCGAGACTCGAGTTACCCCCGGTGTCACTCTCCATTATTCAACTCCGATAATTCCATCCTAATTGGTGCTAATACTCCATTCGCCAAGTCCATACAAATCACTTCCGCTTTAGATCCTTTCCCCTGACTATTTTGGGCAAAGGGGCTCCTCCATGTCCCACAAAAGGGTTCAATCCATGTCTCAAGATCGGTTGGGATTTAACGAGATTAAATGATTTTCACAATGCTTCACGGAAACAGGTACATCTGACTCGTGGGAAAAGCGTCTTTACATTTCACTTCCCCACAAACATTGACACTTTCAATGACAATATTAATATTTGAATGTCGAGATGAGTGAATCATGCGAAACATATTGTCATGTTGTTTATCACGAGAAAAAGGAGGCCCTAACATGTGTCTTTTTCTCTCATCGGAATCTCTTCGCGTATACATGCATAACATGGTAGATATAACGTTTGAGAGGAGAGCGAAATTCGAGATTTAAAAATCGTGTCCGGGGTGAGTGGATGTCGGTGCCAGTCGATACATTCTTATTTCCGTACAAAGCCTTTCAATTTCCCTGTCGTGCCTTTGATATTTTTGCGCGACCCTTATGTATATTTCTATGTTGGAAAAAGGTTACCACCCTCTCAGCCTTTTCCCTTATTTTCTCCCTGGTAGTCCCTCCGACGTCCGGTCGATGCATACACGAGTTTTCTATTTTCCTCCCACCCCTTTCTTCCTTCAGCTTTTACTTTCCTATTCAAATTGTCCTGTGAGACTTATTCGATTTCCCTCCACATATCAGATTCTATTCATGCCTCATATTTTTATAGTGATTTTATAAAAAGAAAAATTCACGCAAATTTTTATTTCTCCCTCAACTATATTCAACAATTCCCTAGTAAATCTCATTCTCTATGGAAATCATTGAGAATTTCCAACAGTCGATTATAAACCAATTCCTTAATGTCTTTAGCAGATAAAAAGTCAAAATGACCAAAGTCTGTATAATTTATTGGCTCATGGATTAATTTTTTAACTCTTTGAAAATTCTTGCTGTATTGATCGACATCTTCCTTCAATGCTAATGGATCATTTATCCCAGAGAACAATACCATAGGTGAGATTATATTGCTCAAATTGTACACCGGTGGCTGAATTTGTCCGTAACGTTGAATATTAATCCCCTCATCCTCGTAATCAAAATGGCGGGGGACACCTTAAATACAAGAAATCATTCTACTGGTTACAACACGTTAAAATCACGCGAAATCATCAATTACCTGAATCCAATTGCTGAAGGAGATAATATGCAACTTTAATTGAGGTGCCGGCAGGGTAGTATCTGCTGAAAAGCTTTAAATTCTCCTACAATATGGAATTCATCAATAACTTATTTGATATTTTCCTCATATTCAAAATGACATTGAAATATCATTTAAGCAAAGCGATAATTACAATTGAGGTTTGTCTTCCATCTGCTCCAAAGAAAAATTTCAATGGTGCATAACAGAGCATTGCAGTGTAATCGTTGGCCAAACACACATTTTCGTAAAATAACGGCATAAATGTAGTCTGGGAGGACATCTCAGCTGCTCCATTGGGAGTGACTTTCTTACCCAAACGAGCTAATTGAATCAGGAATAATCTCGCTGGAGTCATAGTTTTCCAAGGGCACAAGGGGGCTAGAAGTATCATCAAATTGATTTTCTCATTGTATTCCGGCCTCTCAGCGAGCAAAAGTGAGACTATGGTGGATCCAATGGAATGTCCAACATACGACACGGATGGTTGTTCTGTGTAATTCAACACGTAATCCGTCATTGCAGCTAAATCCAAAGTTGCATATTCGTCCAGACTATAATTTAAAGCAAAAACTTTTGATCAATTGAAATGGAAATTTTCAAAAGATCATATATACCTGAAATCCCAAAATAGAGGATCCTCTGGTGATACTGTGGTGTGTCTACGACTGTACGTGTTGCCTCGGAGATTACCAAGCCATACATCGTATCCAGCGTCTGATAGTTGATAGGCTAATAGTTGTGTGGTAATGGTTAATCGATATCAGAAGGATGAAATAAATAATTAATTGACCTCACCGAGACTTATATTGGGAGCGAAGAGTACAAAGCAGTCAGCCGAACCTGCCATTCCATGCTGAAGAAATACAACTTGAGATCCAGCGGATTTATTGAGACCTGACCCATTGGGAAGAACTCGACCTACTGATAATATATAGCCGTCTTGAGTTGTAACTTCATGGGTTTCTGCTTTGTAGCCATATTGCTGGACCAAACCTATCTAGTTGGGTCGAAAAAAAAAAAAATTCTAAACGTCTGAACTTTCAATTCCAACAATTCAATCTTGAAATTGAGACTTACAAAATCGAGTGCATAATATTTCAATCCAGTGGCATCAACGGGAGTTCGCACTTGTTGTATTCGAAAGATGTCTGTCAAAATTGACGAATAACTGTACGCCACCAGAAACAGCATACAGAAAATCGTAGGAATCCCTGAGACGATCATTACTGCCGACAACTGAATGGAGTTTTATTGAGAAATAGATTATCAGTTTCTATTCGTGGCTGGATAAAGGATGCCAATATCGGAAGACTTGAAGTGAACTCAGTTGTCGGTGATACTAGCATCCTTAAGTGAAATTCCAATTACTCAGTAATGGGGTACATTTTCAATGACCTGTAGAATCCATTTTTTTTTCATTATTGAAGATCATTCGGTATTGGACTGAATCAGGTCGTTCTCCAATTCCTCATCGAGTTTTATAGTTAATTAATTTTCTTTGCTCTGTAGAGCGTTGAAATATTCATTTGATGTTTCCTAATCGAATTTACGATCTCGAATAATTATCATATCATCTACATATGATTCTACATCGTTGGCTGTTGATTTGAAATCTTTAATGAGATTCAATATTTTTTTTCGTTGATTTTATAGTTTTCCTTCTGGCAGCAACGGGCGTTTATGTAACAGCTTAACGTTTTTTAACCACAAATTGTATTTTCTTGAAGTTAGTCGGGTGGTTTTTTAGACACAAACCGAGGCGAATGGGTGAGTCCCTTTTTTCCCTTGACACCAAGCACAGGAAGCAATAAATTTCCAGTGGGTCCACCTCCCCTGCATGAGGGCAGTGCAAAAAAGGAGTCAAAGGGAGATGGTCTCAGGTCTCAAGAAACTCCCTGTTTTTTCCGACAAGTGGACCGAATAAAAAATCATTCTCAAGATTTTCCCTTGAATTCTATATATACAAGATGAGAGGAAGAACGAACAGTCGAGAGGAGTGAAATGCTCAATTTTTCTGGTCCAGGAACGCAAGGAAACAGCCGGCCGCTTTAAGTGACAGTTGAAAATTTTTATTGAGAGGTCAAGGCAAAAGGACACTTGACAATTTTCTGAAACAAAATTTTCCGGATGTCTGTTGATAAATGGGTGACCGAAAGGGGTTTCTCGTGTTCAATGATCGCCATGGAAAATTGACTTTTCAACCCCATAAGCATAACCGCGTACAACATGAATTGAGATGAAGTGCAGTGAATGTACGATGATATATCGTGCACCGAGAGTGGATGACACCCGAGATTTTCTTTTTTCATTGTGAAAAAATGTGGAAGGTGTGGCGTTAGTTACGCATTTGAATGATTCGTTCCGTAGATTACGAGAGTTGTACTCGACTCCTGTGCGGCAACCCTTTGTTGAGTCAGAGGATTATCATCAATAATTTTTTTTCACTAGAAAATTTCATATTATTTTATTTGAGATATTATTTAGAGGTGGATATATGCAGCCTATAATATATAAAGTGGATATGAGTGGTGCATGATAAATAGAATGGGAAGGATTGCAGTTGAAGAATGTAAGAACCTCGTGCAGGGGCTGAACTTTCATGAATGAGATGCCACCAGTGAGCATAATCGCTCCCGCTGGGCATTTGCAAGGCCCAAAATGTTGAGAAAAATGTACATTTGACAAACGGGAATACAAACGGGTGAAAGTTTGGTGCCTCAAGGAGTGACACTCGAGATAAATGACAGAAACTTGTGTGTTTTTCACTGCACGCGTTGCTAGTGACCAGAAGGAGCCATGCTCTTGTCATAAATCCTTGCTCCCATGCTGAGTCGTTTAACGATTTTTGTCCTTTCAAAATGTACATTTTCACGCGAATTTCCATGACATTTCAGGGGACAAGGCGAGAAGAATGCTGAAAGGATCAACACCGTATCTCCTGGCCAATTGTCACCAGATTATTATCAATTTTACATGGACACTCAATGCTCCTATCATCACGTCATTATCCACGCAAAATTCACTAAAATAATTATAAATATTGAAAATCCTACATGTAATTTTCATTTTTATTGCTATTCCTCGAATTACCCGGGAACAGTAAGAAAAATGGGTGAGGTCAATTAAAAGGATTTTTTTTCCCCATTTCAAAGGAGCATTTATTGATGATAATGAAATAATTTATTTAATTTGAAATAAATAATTTTTGAGACATATATTAATTGAAAAAATATTGAAATAAACACTTCTGGGTGGCTTGGAGAAATAAACCAGAAGTCCGTAACTCACCGAGAAATCGCGGTTCGTTAGTCCTAACCAGTGGATTTTCAACCCGAAAGGAAAACCTTTTCCTCGCCAGTTAGACTTGCCTTTCTGGCTAAATTTTTCCAGAAGCGTAAAAAAACTCGAGGCCCCTACAGATGTCACAATTAACTCCTGAGCACTGCGGGCCAGTCGACAAAATCCTTCTGAGAATCTCCGGAAAAGAATCATTTTTTATTACGCAAGAATATGCCGAGTTCTATTGGAAAACTGACCGGAAAATTTTCCATTTGAAAATGCACCTTGTTCCATGATTAATGAATAAAAATATTGAAAGTTCAACTGATGAATTACTTTCCACTGTTGAAGATATGAGGATAATAAAATTTTTCAAGTGAATTCGAATAGGATGGGAGAGAACTCTGAGAAAAATAGAGAAAAAAAAAGTGGGGTCCATTGAAAAAGCCCCCACAAGTGATCATGACTTTACGACGATTTTCCCCGGCAAACTTTTTAAAGCCCAAGGTCACCCCGGTTGGTTTTTTTTACGAGTGAATTTACGTTGGTTGGAGCTGCCGAACCGCAGGGATAAAAAAAGCAACTATTTTATAGTCGAGCCCGGGAGTTTATAGCTTTATTTTTTCCTTCCTCACTCATTAAAATGTTAAAAAATTAAAAAGGGATGTTTCATCCAATTACATGAGATAAATTGTGAAAAACTCGAGAGTAGAAGGTATAAAAAAAAATATTGGGGTTGTATAAGAAGATCGCCATGAAATCTCAATCGAGAAGGGTACGCAGAGGGTCGTTAGTGTCGTCGTTACTCTCTGAAACTCGCCCCTGGCCCCTGCCCCCTGCCCCCTGTTCCCTGGCCCCTGCCTCCTACCCCCGTCACCCCCTACGTTGGTAACGATCGTTTCACGTCATTCTATCAGCGTCACAAGACGCGGCGTGCCATGTCGCAAGGCTTTCAATTGTTATGCGGTCGCAGCTTTTTTTTTTTCCAACCCTCCTCAGGAAAATTTCAATCTCAAGGATAATACGACAAGTCTTGCATAATGTCTCAATGCTTGCCAAGACAGGCCCTCATAACATTCTTCGATATTCATTTAATTGATGCCTGTTATCGAGAAGAAGGAATATCTAACAAAGCCATCCTTTGGAATAATAATCCCGTACAATTATTCCCATCACATCACAATTTAAGAGTAAATTCAAATTTTATTTATTATTGTTTGTTGATTGTGTTAGCGTGTGGTTGGTCTTGGATTTGACCAATTGAAATACAATGTTACGTGTCCGATATATTTGAGGCGCCAGATGTCGACCGCTCGGGATGAGTCAGGGATACATGGTAATTTGCCAAACCACCATCGATAATAACATATCGTTTGGTAGTTGTTACACACTTCCGATAGTTCTGTTAAAAACCATTGAAAAAACTCGTCTCTTGGTGCTTCTCCAGGAAGAATAATTTTTCACCATTCTATCCATTAATTTGAGATTTACTATTCACTATTTTAATAAGCCGTTAGAGGATGCTCCTCACAATGAGAGGTAGGTCGGGGTGGCCCAGAAAAAAAAAATAAATAAAAGGGCTTTACAAAGAGAGGAAAATGAAAAGATGAGTGGTATGAGAAACCTATATGAATCCTGTCAAACATACTCAGCGTCAGATTTTTTTTCAAATTCTAGAATTGTGGCGCAATTATTTTGTAGAAATAATGACCGCATCATCAAATGAGCCATGATTTTTTTCTTAATATGAAATTTCGCGACAAGTAATCGTATCGAAGCAACGAATATATAAAACCTGGAGGGCAGATTTAGTCATTCCGCTCGAAAAAATAGGAAATTTCGGGTTTGACGAATACAATGCCTCCATTCGAAAGCGAAAAAAAAAAAACCATAAAAAAAAACGAACGGTCCAGATGGAAAAGTCCAGATAGGCTCGACTATTGTGGACGCGGAAGGAGTTTCCCTGGTACTGAGCATTGTTACGTCATTGGCATGTACAGGTTTTGAATTTCCGCGCAAATGCTTGCCCCCTTGATTCCAAATGTAAAACGAGAACGGTCTTCTAGAATCTAGACAGTAACCCGAGCAAGTTTTCTTCTTTTCCCTTTGTTCATTTTCCCTACGTAAATTTCTCGCCACTTGAGGAATAAAAAAAAAAACCCGAGTGAAAAAAACATTGCAGGATAACAGAAAATTGAGTGAATGCATTTATTGGGCGTGCATTTCCCCGATTACAAGTTTCTCACGCATTTTTCCATGCCGTGATGGCCCCCTTGTGTATTTGCGGGGGTCGCGTGCTCGATGACAATTATATAGTCCGGCCCACCCGATGTTGGAGAAGGAGTTTTTCGCCATGGGGATGATGATGGCGTGTGTGTTCAGAGGATGAGTCATTTGGGGAATTCAATTAAACCGATTAATCCACGAGAAAATAATATTTTCCGGACACATGCAGTGGATTGTGGAGTAGATGCAGCGGTGGCCGGTGCGTTTGCCTGTGTTTTTTCCATTTCCTTTCAAGGAAAAAATGACGAGAGGAAACAGTAAGAGGTGTACAATGGCAGTCTTACGATCTGTTTGCTACAAACAGCTCCATTTCTCGTGGAAGATTAGCGGATTAGGTGTAAGGGAGTATACGCCTGGCTAGTTGCCAATAAGCTTTCATCCCGGAGAACAATGGAGATGCCTGGAGTGTAGACGGCAGTAGTGCAAACGCAAAATACTGTAAATACCGCATTTGTATTTTTTTCGAGCGTACTCTTTTCAATAACGGTAAACACCGTGTTTTCCCCCAAACAAGGCTATCTGTGCTTGGCTGGGTTAGAATGAGTGACGTCACCTCGGACCACTGGCCACTGAGACCGGATAAACTCACTGTTGGATGGAAAGGACACGTTACTTTTTTTTTTTTTATTTTTCACTTCAAAGTATATAAAGCCTCCCGCCCACGCTCCAGTACACGATGGAAGGGATTGCGGCGGCACTAATGCCCTCTTACTGTCACTGTAATGCCAGCCTAATAACAACTCGCTATTTTTTTCCT